TATCCCAAATAGTTTCAGTAGTTTTACATTTTTTAATTTTATATTTTTATAACTTTAATTAATTGTAATTCTCAGAGAATGAAATATAATTATTTACATAAGTAAATGTATATAAATTTCCATTAAATTTACATAGTGAAAGTAAAATAATAATAATATTATTCAAGTTGATAAATAATAACTTATTGAATATAATAAAGTGGAAGTGAAGATATTAAGTGGAAGTTATATAATTAATTATATTTGTTCTGTATTAGAATTAGAATCTTAACCTAAACCCCTTTGATAAAATTATGAAGATAAATTAATAAGGATGATATAATGAAATTATAAAGATAAAATAATAAGGATGTTATAATGAAATTATGAATATATAATATTAAGGAAGTTTGGAAGTTGAGAGATATAATATTGAAACAAATGTATTATAATGAAAGTGAATAAATATTAGTTTGTTAGTTCTATCTAAAAACTAACTGGTGCCTTCTAAAATTCAAGGAATAACCAAACTGAAAGTCTTGTACCTTTGGGGAAGGACTATAAACTCCTTAAAAGAACCATTGAGTGGATGTTAACGATAACACCCATGACAATGGATATATGCAAATATATTCAAAAAATGTATCTGGATAAATTTGAATACACAAATATATGCAAATATATTTGAAAAATGTATCTGGATAAATTCGAATACATGAATATATGCAAATATATTTGAAAAATGTACCCATTCAGTTCAAATATATTTGGATTTATTTGCTCCCAAAAATTTTCTGAAGGGTGGTAAAACTTTTTTTTTTTTTTTGAAGTTGAATTCATGTAAAATTTTATTCTTATTAAAACTTTTACAATTGTTATTCAATTTTAATTTTTAAACATTTAATAAAGAGGAAATTAAATTTGGAAGCAAAATATATAATTATTTTTGATATTATTATACAAGTTTTAAAATTATTTTATAATTATTACTACCCGGAGCAACCCATGAAGTATTAACCCGGTACATTTAACCCGGGTTAACCCTTGCTCCACTATAATATAAGCCCGTTATGTTCTATTAACAACCCTAGCTAAGGGTGGATCCATGAAACTTATGGCATATGTCAGAAGACATCAAGGTAATATGCTTACTATCGTTGCAGTTGGTACATACAACAGCTCACTATTATATTCATCTTATTTCAGTCCACGTTGAAGGTAATTTGTGATCATACAAATGGTCTCGCTTTCCGATTCACGTTTACATAGGGAACGCAAAAGGAAAATTCCAGTTTATGAAAAGCACTGTGGATTGTTCGGTACACCTTCATCAAGTCCAATAAAGAAAGGTAAAAGTGATGACTATCAAAGTCGCAGGAATCATTGAAGTGGGTAAAATAATAATTGGAATATTGTAATCACTATTGTAATTTCGTTGAATATAATTAGAGTAATTAGAGAAATTAGAATGAAGTGTTTTCTTAAAAATTTTCTTGTAATATATTTACGTTTATTAACACTAATAGAGCGTGCTTTATATAACATACACGAGTTTTAAATTTATTATTGTACATTGTAATTCGTTTTACAAATAATAATAAACAATAATAATACAATTCGAAAACTAATTAATAAATAGTGAAAACGTGAAGAGATTTTAGATACGGACGGATTTTAATAAAAACTTAGATACTGGGTTTTATTATAATTATTACAATTATTATAAATTCACAAGTTTCAATAATAAATATTAACAGTAAGTACAGTAAGTTAAATAAATAAATAAATAAATAAATAAATGAGTGTTATCCACAATTTCCAAAAAAAAGGTGATAACCATCCGCAAGGAATGAAAATGACCTTTTATTTTTTTTGTCTTATCTAGATTTTTTTTTCTCACGATCAACTTTCTCTTTATCCAGTATTACTTCAAATCAATAAATTAATTGTAAAAAAAAATATGGAGTTATTTCTTTAACAAATTACGAAAAGCAAAAAAACTTGTAGTAAAAAAAATTTCTTTTTAACAATCATTAAGATTTTCCACCTGCAGAACGAACATTTCCACCAACATTACTTCCACTATGACTATGACTAATCGAAATTGAAGATCTAGAAGAGGCAGCTTTAACTGCATTTTGATTTACTACATAACCTAATCCAATAACCGTCCAAAAAGATAAACTTTTTGTATTATTATTATCATCACCATTAGTAGTAGTGGTGGTAGTAGTAGTAGTAGTTGTTGTTTCAGTTTTATCTTCATTTTGAGGTGAAGTGATATCTTGAGATAAAGTAGTATTTTGAGCGGTCTCTTCGTTATTTTCATTATTTTCAGTACTTTTTGTGGTATAAGTGACTAAGAGAGGGAACTATATATAAATGAAATAATAAATAATAATAATATTATTAATTATGTTTATAAATTATTAAAGTGAGAGAGAAAGAATCGAGAGAATAGAAAGAAAAGAGAGAAAAAAAAAAAAGATAATACCTTAAATTCTTCAACTTCCGATAATGGAGTAATTTCAACAATAATGCTAGTATAATTCCCACGTCTTTCATAAATGCCAATATCATTTTTAGCATTTGCACCGGAAGAAGAAGAATGAGAACGAGATTTAGCAGAAACCAATTCCGGTTCTTCATATTCCCATATATCATTATATGGTGAAATATAAAAATTTGGAGCAAGTATTTCAACTTTTCCAGATGAATTATTATTATTATTGTTATTGTTGTTGTTGTTATCCTTATTGTTATCCTTATTATTGTCATTATTATTATTGTTGTTGTTGTTGTTGTAGTTGTTTTCATCAACATCATTATTATTATTATTGTTATTGACATCAGCCTTCAATGCCAATTCAACATAAATTTCTTCATCTGATGGATTAGAAAATTTTAATACTATTTGAGTTTTTTGATTGAGAAATAGTTTTGGTAAACTTGCTATGGTGATTTTAGGAATGCTCGCTCTATTAAAGAATATTTAACATTAATTATTATGATTTAATTAATTAATTAATTAATTAATAATAATATGTAAAATATTACTCACAGAGCAACAAGTTTTATTTTAAACCTAGTTGCTTGAGCTTTTTGCTCAGGTTTAATAAGAATATGTCGACATGAACGACATCTTTTTATTCTTTTTGTACGAAGATGAATTCTTTGAGGTTGAAGACGCCTAAATAAAATAGATATCAATAATTAATTATTATTTAATTAATAAATATAAGAATAATTAATTATTATTTAATTCAATATTTATACTTACTCCACTTTATAAGGTTGATCACTAAGTTGATTCATTCTTTGTGTCAAGTTGGTAACTATTAATTATAATAATTATTATTATTATAAAAATAGATTTGATTAATATAAAAAATTAATGTATGACATGATTATATTAAGCATAAATTAAGCATAAATCAAACAAACATAAATCAAACATAAATTAAGTATAAATATTAAGCATAAATTAAGCATAAATCAAACAAACATAAATCAAACATAAATTAAGTATAAATTAAATATTTACTAACTTTGATTAATAACTTTTAATTGAGCCAAATCTTCTATTAATCCTGTGTCATTTTCAACTTTAGTAATAGCTTCATATTCAACTAAATCATCAGTTTTTTGTTGATTATTTTGATGACTTCCCGAAACACCACTACCACCGCCACCGCCACTACTACCACTACCACTGCCACCACCATAACGACTACTAATGCTCATTCCAGGAATTGATAGTAATGAAGATGGTAGTGAAGTAGATGGAGTATTTTGACGTATATGTTTTTCAAAATGTTCTTTGAGATGATCAAATTCTTTTACATCTGGTTTTTCATCTTCTGTCTTTTGTAGTTGTACTGTTATATTTGATTATATTAATTACATTGATTATATTTAATTATAAAAATTATAAAAATTAAAAAAATAAATAAATTATTTAAATAATTAAAAATAATTACAAGCTAATCCGGTAGCTTTTTCAAAATTCATTCCTATTTCTTGAGAATCCCAACGACAGACTCCACATGTTAAATAAAAAGGAGCTCCACTTGCCATCATACTCAAAGATGAAGGAACAGTGGTCACGGATTGTGCTTCGGCAGAAGCTGTAACGGAAAGTGTATTTTGACAAATTGGGCATTGAAAGCAATTACGTGCACATCTATAATGTGATTATTATTATTATTATTATTATTATTGAATTATTTAATTGAATTATTTAATTTAATTGGAATTAGTGATTATTATTTGATTTAGATAAAAATAAAAAATAAAAATCATACCTATTCCTTTCACTTTTAACACTTGCAGTTGGAACTTCAAATAAACAATTGGGACAATAATAACAAACTATTTCTTCTTGTACACATCTTGGACAACGTATCTGATGACAATCGTCACAAAAATAAAGTTTTGAGATAGGAAAAGTGGAGAAGTTTACCCGAGGTGAGTTGACATCGAATTGTGGTATTTTAGGTATTTTAGTTTTTTCAGTTATGGGTTCGTCGGCATTAGCAACAATAGTGGTGTTAGTGGTAGTAGAAGAAGAAGTAGATTTGTTATACACGTCTGGGCAAAGACAATGGTAATGTACGTATGCGAGTTGACGTGTATCTGGTAAAGTAGACATTTTTTTTCACCTCTATAATTAATTATAACAAGTCAAATAAATCAGGAGAGATGTAACAACTGAAGATCGTGTAACTCGCGAGACACTCTCCTGACTATGACATGACATCTTTGACACCCCCAATTTAGGTCAGGTGAAATCGATCGTACTACAATACGTATATCCGAGGTGCCAAGTAACCTCTATCGACTAATCTAGGTAATTAATCTATTAAATAATCGAGGTAAAAAAAAAAGAATTCTTTAATTAATTTTTTAATCCAAATGTAGAGTCCATTCTGATTACATAAATAATAATAATAATAATAAAATGATTTCATAAATTCGAAATTACAAATTATAACTGCATACGTTCTTTGCATTATTATAAATAATAAACGTTTGATAAAACTTTTTAATAAACGTTTGATAAAAACTTTTAATAAACAATAATAAGTTGTAATAATCATAATAATAAACAATAATAAATGGATGATAAACGTTAATATTTAAATAATTATAGCTTACCCTATTCTCTTATGTTTTCTTAATTATTTTCTTAATTATATATTTTCTTGATTATATATTCTTTTATTTATTTATTTATTTATTATATATTCTTAATTATATATTCTTTTATAGGCATATATAAATATAATCCGGATTATATTATTATTATATTATTAAATATTTTTTGTTTGATTGTTTGAATTCCAACCCTTTATCCCTTTTTCTTTCACCGACATCTACATAAACATTACAAACTTAAAATATACTTAAATGCACTATTTATATATATAACATACCAGTATGGAATCTATCGATACTATATTGAGCACGAAATAATTTATAATAAACAATATAAAAAAAGGTATAAAGTAAATATATATGCAATTTATTTATTCATTCGAATAGAATATATTTGAATATTGAATATTTATATTGATTTATAATTATATATATATATATATACTCTACGTACATGAACCTCCTTCCTCCTTTAATTATCATCATTATAAAAAAAAAAAAAATTATTTAAAATCGTCTCGGGAAATTTTGACTATTAACTTTTTTATTTCTTTGACACTTTTTAAACCCCCCAAGACGACTTAAATAATTTTTTTTTAATTAAATTACAACTTAAATCTAAATTTAAATAATAACAGAAATAGTATGAGTCGAAATAACAACAATAGTAATATAAGTCGAAATAATATTAGTAATAGTAATAATAATATGAGTCGAAATAATCATAAAAGAAATATGAGTCGAAATAATAATATAAGTCGTTCTTCTTCTCCTCTTTTACCTGGTGGTTTAGTAATAGTAGAAAGAAAACCAAATTTTGGAAGTAATAATAGAAGAAATAATAATATATCATCATTATTATCAACTATTTATAACGAACGTATAGAAAAAACCACGAGTTTTGATTATGAAGATTGTGAATCAGTAGTATCATCAAATTTAGAAGACGAAGAAGAAGAAGAAGATTCAAAACTTGCACAAAAAGTATCATTATTACGTAAAGAAATTGAAGCAGTAAAAGATAGTTTATCCTGGTTACAAAAAGATCATAAAAAAATGTTAGATGAAAAGAAACAACTTGAAGATCAATATTTCGAAGTGAAAGATGAAGTTAAAAAAACTTTGGAAACGAATGAAGATGAATTAAAAGAATTATTAAATGCGGAATTACCATCACCTATAATAATACCTGATATTACATCAAATACTTCATTAACAACACCAATAATACCCGACACCATAACACAAATAGCGCAAATAACATCAGATTTTATTACAGAATTACCAGAAGAATATGAATCAATAATGAAAAACTGTGTTTATCAAGCCAAAGAATTAACTTTAATACAAACTCAATTAGAAAAGAGTAAAGAAGATTTTAAGATATTATTAAGTGCTAGAGATGAAATCGAACGAGCACTTGAATTACAAGAAAGGAAATATTTAGAAAGAATAAGAGAATGTGAAGCTGTAACATCAGGACAATCTGGAATGATAAATTCTATGGAAAATTTATTAAAAGATCTTGAAGGAAAAATGGATAAATTAATAAATGAAAAGATAAAGAAATTGAAACAAAAGAAATCACATCAACGAAATAAATCAAGTATAAGTTCTATGACATCAATATCATCACAAAACAGTCAACAAAGTCAACAAAGTCAATCTAGTCAATATAGTACTAAAAGTTTTTTAGCTCATCAAAGACAACAATCAAGTATAAGTTCATTACTTAATGCTGGACTTTATAGTGGATGTAAACGACAACAACCAAGTCCTACTCCCAGTTATAATAATAATTATAATAATAATAATAATAATAATAATAATAATTATAATATGAATAATAATAATAATAATATGAATAATCAATCATCACAACGACCCAATCATGTCAGTCATTTCAGTTGTTCAAGTGTTTCCAGTAATAATTCTGGTCATCATCATTATCGACAAACATCAGGTTCAAGTTCAAATTCATCATCATCATCATCAGCTTCGGCGATTATTGAACGAAGGAAAAAACAAAGAGAACAAGAATTATCTAAACTTCTTATTAATACCAATGTCGCCACCTCTAACGCATCATCTTCCACTTCTTGGTCAAAGATTAAAACTTCATCTGATGACGAAAGTGTTGTTTCAACTTCTGAATTGATACCGGCGCATTGTTTATCGCCACCTCATGTAAATTTAATTTATTTTACATTTTTTTTTTAACTTATACTTTATTTAGCACATCACATTTTACACTTTATTAATACTTATTTTATCATTATTTACAGGCTAGAAATAAATCTTGCACAAATCCAATATCATTATTAACAGATGAAGAAATAATTCGTCATCAAAGGCGATACAGTAAGTTTTAATAATAATTTTTAATAATAATAATAATAATAATAATAATAATAATAATAATGACAACAACAACAACAATAAAAATAAAATAATAATAATAATAATAATAATAATAATAAATTCATAATCTAATCATAATAGGTCTTGCAGATCGATGGGTAGAAGATGATGAAGTATCAACATGTCAACAAGCTGGATGTAGTGTTAGATTCAATTTTTGGAAACGACGACATCATTGTAGAAGGTAATAATAAATAATAAATAATAAATATTTTTAAATTGATTTTTATTTTTATTGTAATTTTATTAAATTTTATTTATTATTTTCTCTTATTATTAATTAATATTTTTTTATAGATGTGGAAATATATTTTGTCATGAACACAGTTCAGAGTCGATGTTATTATTTTCAGATACTAATGATGATATGAGTGGTGTATGGTCAAGAGTTTGTGAAGGATGTTTTAAAGATAACTAATAATTAATTATTTATTTATTTGTTTTCTCATTATTTCTCATCATTATTATTATTATTCTCATTATTATTCTCATTATTATTTCTCAACATTTTTTCATCATTATTTTTATCATTCTGGTAATGATAAATTATAAATTGTATAGCATAATATAATATAATATGGTTCATTTATATTTTGTATAGTATAGGAATTTATTGCCTTTTTTATATATATATCATTTATTATTCTTACTGTTCTTTCTTACTTTCTTTATTATTCATCTTATGATTTATTTATTTTTTATTTCTATCTTTATTTTTTTTATTCAATGTATAAAGAACAATTCATTTAACACTCTCTCACATTTACACACTCATTTCATTATTCATCACTTTTTTTTTTTTGTATTTGTATTTTGTATATTATTTTCTCCACCAATTACAACAATTTTCAATACAACCCTTTTTTTTTTACAGTTATACATTATACCAATTTAGGTATGATAAATGATTCATATAATAAAGAATAATATCCATAATACAATAATAATTGATACAATCAATAATAAGAATAATATTATAATATTATAAAAATAATAAGCCACGATTCACCTTTTTTAAAATAACAGGTGTGGCTCAAATTAAATTACTCTGCCACATACTAAAAATAATAAAAATAAAAAAATTCTTATTCGAATTTCGTATTATTCATATTAATATTGTAAATGAAAGAAAAAAAAAGGAGGATTAACAACTGACTGACCGCTTGTGAACGAATAACAAAACAACTTGTGAACGAACTACTTTGTCAATTAGACAATCAAAAAAAAAAAATTCTGGGGTAAAGATTCTCCCTAACGTAAAGATAAGGACCTTTTAACATAAAATTATGTTTATTTTAATAATAGTTAAATTAATTACCTTTTACAGAAAAAAGAAAAGGATTATTCGGGAGGATGAATTCAATAAGAAAAAAAAAACATTGCACTAGCACAAAGAATTTTTTTTTTTTGTGTTTTTTTTTTTTTTAGCTCGAATTTTGAGTTTCGAAGTAAAAAAAAATGTTCTTTGTAATTTTGTAATTTCTTGAATTTCTTGGAATTTCAATGGATTCTGGGAATAAGGTTCTGAAACGAGAATTTCATTTTTTTTGAACCTTGTTGAATTCTTGTTAATTTCTTGTAATGTGGGAAAACAATAGGAATAATGGAATATGGTAAATATAATGGGAATATAATATTGATGCAGTATCCATGTGCTTTGGGCATACATTAATTAATTCTTGACGTGTTATTGTTATTATTATTTTATAATGAAAGAAAGAATGGAAAGAATGTTAGAATTGCTTAGACAACTTAAATTTTCCTTGGTTTAACTATATATATAATATGTTAACATATGAAAAAAAACATATATACAAATAAGAATGTATGGCTGTGCATTCGATTTTGTTTTTTTTGTCGCGCCTGCGACATGTTTATAATTGTTATAATAGGTGACAAATATGATTTTCACATTCTAAAAAAAAAATTCTGAAATTTTTGCCCCTGAATTAATCTTAACTCTAACACCCCTGAATTTGTTATGGATTGATCAATAAAAACCACCCTAGTGCGACAAACAAAAAAAAAATTCCTATTTTTAATTAATTAATGTTAACAGTTTTTAATAGGTTTAAATAGGTTAAAAAGATAAACAAGTTATTAATAACATCAACAAGTAATACTACAAGTAATTAATAATTTAACTTATTAAAACAAACCACTTTCTTTTTAAGGAAAAAAAGAATCATGTTATTGGGTGGCGCAGAATTACCGATATTTTTTGGTTTTTTTTCTTATCGTGGTAAAAGATGGTAAAAGAGATATTCGTAAAATGTCAAAATGACAGCAAGTAAGTGTAAGCAAGCAAGTAAGCAAGCGAACAGGCGAGCAAAAACGAGGGCATCCAAAAGCTTAGACCACTTTATTATTATTTTTTTTTTTCACTAATCAATTTTTTTTTTAAAAAATGTTGCATAAATCTTGATTGCATAACAGACAATTGCATAATAACATAATAATTAACTAGAATAGTTAAAATATTTAGATCATGTTTTTCGTAATTCGTAAAAATAATAATTTGTAAAAAAAAAATAAAAAAAAATGTTATTAATAAAATTTAATAATTTAATAAAATTTAATGTTAACGATTTATTGTTATATTTGTTATATTTTCGAAACCTTTTTTAGTATTGTATCATGTATTAAAAATATTTTGAAGTATCTAATTAATAAGGAATTTTTTTATTTCTTTTAATTCAATCATTAGGTTACATAAAATTTGTGTAAAATTTATAGCATCAAAGAAAAATAAAAAAAGAAGAGGTCAAAAACAAAGAAAAAAAAAAAAAAAAAAAGAAGAGGCAAAAAGAAAGTAAAAAGAGTAATGATAATATATTTTACATGTGACAGATCAAATGAGACATATTGAATTTGTTAGATCTTTGTATTTTGCTGCTGCATTGTATCTCAGTTTCACCTCATTAATTATTTATTATCTTTATTAATTATTATTCAATTGATCAAATATCTTTTCTTTTCTTTTTGAATTATATAAAAAAATATATTAAAAATTAAAAAAAAAAAAATTAAAAATTAAAATAATTTTGATGACCCGAATTTTTCAATTCAAGTGTTACAAAAATATAGTATTATGGCGTTAATGTAAAATTACGCCAAAGACATTCGCATTGGTTCATTTGTTTGTTGTACAAGAATATCAATAAGAACACGATGAATATGATAAAAAAAAAACGGTAAAGTAAATATGGTAAATGAGGTTAATGCGGTAAGGTAAAAAATTTCATTTAACTTTCATTTTTATATATATATATATATTTTGTGTACTACGGAAAATCTTTACTAACGATATTATTACGATTATTACAATTACTGTCTGTTTACATAGATGGATAAATTTAAAAAATATAAAAAAAATAAATAAATAAAATGTACCACATATTTTTTTTTTATTTTATTTTATAATAATATAATAAGAATATGAAAATGAAAATAGATTAAGAAATATCAATAAGAATTATATATCGTTTTGGTTATCTCGGATGTGTTGGCGTTAAGGAAGAAAAAAAAAAGCTATGTTACTACTATGTGTATGTATGTATACTAATAAATAAGTATGTTAATATATATATAATATATTTATGCGCGAAAAAAAGAGTAAGAATCACGTTTATAGATTTTATAGATTTATAGATTTTATAAATTAGGAATTGCATAGTAATAATGACGACAACGACGACGACGAAAAAGTAAGAAGAAGAGGCAGAGGAAGAGAAAGAAAAAGAGATTATATTAAATTATATTTATTATATTTAATATATATTAAATGAATTAAAATACATGAAAATATTGAATATATCTAAAAATGTACACATGACTATACAGCACAGCGCAGTACATTAAGTAATATTAAGTAATGTTAGAATTATATATCTCCTTCTTTAAGATTCACGCATTTTCTCAGAATTTTTTATATTGTTATTAATGTTTTTTTCACGCGTTTGCCCAACTGTAGTATAAATATTTTGGTAGTACCCGCCCACCATTTTATCGATATTTTGTCAATGTTGGTCTACGTAATATCGATGTTTTGTCTGTTTTTCTTTTTTTGTCGCGAAAGTTGTAACCAAATAATAAAAAAATTAAAACTCAAAAATCCAAAGAAACATCTAAGAGAGAAAGGAATATCAGTTATCAGTAAATGTGACTTGTTTGGGCGTAAAAGAAATATTACTAAATTTAATGAGTTGAATGATTATATATATTTCTATATTTTTTATATATATTTTTACATTTATACTTTTTTTTTTATTTGTTTTAACAAATTAGAAAAATGACGAATAATTTACCTTACATTACGTAATGTAAGCAACTGAAAATATATTTTAGTACTTCAATTAAATATTATTTTGGTGTTTCGTTTAAAAATTCAAAATTTCTTTTTCTTCAACTTTTTCGGTCAATTGAGATGATTATATTCATAATTTATTTATTTATTTATTTATTTTTGTAATTCTTTACAATAAACCTTTTTTCGAATAAGATTTAATTTAATTAAATTATTATATTCAATTTACAATATTTTAAATCTTAACGCCGATGATAATCATAACTATTATGTATTTAGATAGGTTTTTCTTCGGTAAATACCTAAATACTACGCTATTATTACTACCTACATACATACATACATTGATGAATGCGCCTGAAAGATTTTCACAATGAATGATTGGATGGATAGTTGTAATTTTTTTAAAGATGATACTTGAATTTGAAATTTCGGAACTTTTAAAGATTTTTAATGGAAATAAGAGTTATTCATAAGAATTTATTTTTAATAAGATTTATGTCATGAAATATGCAGGGGTTATAGGTTGTAACCCCACAATTTAAAAAAAAAATAATCCGTATATTATAAATAATCTTTTTTTTTTTTTTGCAATTTTGTAATGGCATAATTACATTGAAAATTTTCCAAATATATAAAACTTCAAACCTTGATCTTTCATTAACAAAGTAAGATGATTTGAAAACAATCAATTTTATCTTTATTGATTAAAAAATAATGTAACCAACTCTATTATGTTTTTACGTTTTAAAGGGCGTTTAAAGACTATTGTTTCGTAATGTTCTAACTTGTATTCGTAAAACTCGCACGATCATATTTTTTTGCACATTGCATGCTGCCTTTAAATCACAAATATAGGCTTGAGGAATTCAATGATCCAGTCTATCGAAAGAGTCAATTATGCATTTGGGCAAATGTTTGTACAACTCCCTTATTAATATCTTTAATATTCTCCACTTGGGATACATTTATTAATTACTACAAAATCATCAATATGTATCATGTAATATACAAGATCGTATCCGCGGCTTCCCTCTAACTATATTTTTACACTTTAACCCGTATGGATGAACAAAACTGCAGTATTCATAGAAAAGAACAAATAGAAAAACAAATTCACGTACGGTTTTCCTCAGTTGGTATTGATCGAACGGTAGAAATTTTTCCTCGGGTGATAAATCCTAACTTTAATTCTGAAAGGTTATCCAAGTCAAATTTTTTAGTCAAATTTCGGGATATCATTGAAGAGACATATACTCCTGCTTTGAAATACTTCTTTCTTGATTTTTTACTCTCCTTATGCTTTTTTTTTTCTTTTTTCTTTATTTAATACCATTTTTTTTAAAAAAAATTTTCATCTGTCTAGTTAAGGAAGAAACTTATACATATTATCAAATTATTTCCTCAGAATATGGTATTGAAAAGGAGCATGTGCTAGCCTTAATTATTAAAGTAAAAGAATAATGATCCGCATTTTGCATATAATCTATTGAAACTTAAACCTAAATTAAATTTAATTAATTTAATTTTATATCCTTAAATAGTTGATATATATTTATAAAAGACGCCATATATGTTATATGTTATATGTTATATAAATTATATGATGCTAAATCTGCTGGTCGTCGCACCAAAAAAAACGAAACACTGATCTAATGGTTAAATAATTAATTAATTAAATTTAATTTATCGATAATAAACTAACGAATATGCTTTATACGAACTTTTTTTTTGATTCAATATTATTAATTAAATCTTTAAAAATCATTATTAAACGATTGGTAACTATAATAATTTCATTTTTTTTTGTCACCTGAGTAATAGAAAAAAATCCACACAGATCAATTTAATTGTATTTAATAATTGCGAACATATTTATGTATGTTATGCATTCAAACAAAACAAAACAAAACGTGAAATTTTTCATATTTGCTACATTATTTTTTTTTCCAAGACATTTTCATTTCCATTGTTGTCGTCGTCATCATCATTATCATCATTATCAACCATCATCATGAAACAAATTAAATCCCAATAATAAAAGTACATTCGATATATTCCGAATGTTTACACGTACGCCACAAAATATTTGCGCGTGAGTTTTGTTGTTTTTTTTTTGCTTGTGTTTTGCTTGTGTTTTGCTTATGCTTTAATTGTGTTCACTTTTTCTAACATAACATAACGCGACTTCACATTTTAATTAAAAGAAAAAAAATATATTTTTCAAACGAGTTATTTTTTTATGTATGTATTCTCTTATTTCTTGCGAATAAGAAAAGCCCAGATAAAAAAATTTTTATTTCTTTACAGTTGAAAATTACTGAGAAATTATAGAAAGTATTACAAATAATGCACATAACATGAATATATATGTCACGCGGAAATTCTTTACATAAGAAAAATATCATATGAAAAAGATTCTCGGGTTAATTCAAAACGCCGCCGTACATGTCTAAAAGTATAAACGCGAAATGCCGTAATAAGTCGAAAAGTCGATAAGTCGACACGTTGAAACGTCGAAATGCCTTAAGTCGAATAAGTCGAATGTCGAAATGTCAAATGTCTAAATGACTGACGTACATGTATGATAACGTCGAAAATCGAAATATCACGTGAATTATATAAATACAATCTAACAACTTATTCGTAAAAGAAAAAAAATGAATCCCTCACTTTCTATCTCTAATAAAGAAGTTCAATTTCTTTCACAGGTTTTATTTTTTTTATTAACTTTTTTTTTTATTTGCGATATGTAGATATGTCAGAATTAATGATTTAAGGTTATATGTTAAAACATTTTTTATTTTATTTTTTAGGAAACCACAACTTTAATTGTAAAAAATTTACCAGATTATTCTGAACCTGATTTACTTGAATTTCTTAAACATTACGGACCACAGAATATTCGCCTTGGAAAATCACCACAATTGGTATATTTTTTATATTTCAATCATGATTTTAGATATATTAATTATATTAATTATTTTTTTTTATTTTCATTTTTATAGAAAAATTCGGCATTTCTTGATTTTCCAGATCGTTTGTCAGCAACTAATGCATTTTATAAAATTCAAGAATTAGGAGATATTTGTGGTAAAAGGATCCGTGTAGAATATGCCTTACCTAGTAAGGAAACTTTAAAGAATAATTGTATTGGTGGAGAAAATTCAACGGAAACAAATGAGACAAGGGAGATCAATCAAACTAGTCAAACTAGTCAAACTAATCAAACTAGTCAAACTAGTAATCGAAATGAAGTACCGATGCCACCACCACCACCTCCACCTATTCCACCAACACCAGGATCTGGATTATACGCGGAACCTATTGCACCTTCACTTGGGTAAATTAATTTTTTATTTTTTTTTGTATTCATTTTACATTCTGACTTTTTGTAATTATTATTTATTTTATTTTTTTTAGAGTGAATTATCCATCAAATCCAACACTTCATTATCGATATCCACCTCCAACAGTAGAAACTCTTCAAAATATTATGAATGCAATAACAGCTGTACCAAAATTATATACACAAGTATTACATTTAATGAATAAAATGAATTTACCACCTCCTTTTGGTCCAGTAGTACCAGAATCAATTCCATCTTTAGTAAGTGTTTCCCTTACTTTTCTTCTTTAATTAAGATTTTTCATCATTCATTAATTTTCATTTTCATTTTCATTTCATTCATTTATTTTAGCTTAAACCAGATGATGGAAAAGAATTGAATAAGAAACGTAGAAAAAAAGATGAATTATTATCAGAAGATGAATCCGAAATTGAAAGTGAAAATGAAGAAGATTTAAAACAACAAAAACGTAATTCAAGGAAAAAAATTAAAACGACATCTTCAAATGTACCATTATTAGTACAACCATTAAATACATCACAACCATCACTTTTGAATGCAACAACAAATGTTATGTCATCAACACCCACCCAATTTTATGACATGTCTATTAATGTTGGAATTAATACTGGAATTAATACTGGAAATGTTGCTGGAATTGATACCACTTCATCATCATCAAATCATTTAACAATTAAACAATTATCCAAGTCAACTAATAATTGTATAACTATTGAAGAAATTAATAAAAATAAAATGCCTATTGAAGGTATGTCAATTATTCCAATAACTAATGTTGATTTAATAATAATATAGATAATAATAATAACATTGATATAATAATAACATTGATTTAATAATAAAATTGATTTAATAATAATAGAATTACAAAAGATTTCAGTAATGAAAAATTATTCACCTGGTGAACCTAATAGAAATTTATATATTAAAAATTTGGTTCCTAAGAAAGTTGAAGAAAAAGATTTAGAATATTTATTTGGAAGATATTTCAATTCACATTCAGAAATGAAAAGGTTAATTTTTTTTTTCAATTAATATTTTTAATTATTATTATTATTATTATTATTTTAATTTTATTTATTGATTTAGTAATTTATTAATTTTAGTACTTTTTGATTGATTGATTTATTAGTAATTTGGAAATTATTTTGATGAAAGAAGGTAGAATGAGAGGACAAGCTTTTATAAAGTTTCCTACTGAAGAGCAGGCAACTCAGGCTTTGAATGAATTACATGGTTATTTATTACATGATAAACCAATGGTTATAGTAAGTTATTATAAATTCACTACAATATTGTTGTAATATATATATTAACATGCATTTATTTTATTTTTAGCACTTTAGTAGTAAAGTTCAAAGCAAAGGATAATTCAAAAATCTAATAAATTGAATCAAATTATTGATATTAAAACAAAATGCGAATTTATGTGAATTTATGTAAATTTTTTTTTTAAAAAAAACAATATATTAGTATACTAATACTGAAAACTAATGAAAATAATAATTAATTAATGTAAAAACAAAATTTTTTATTGTTTGTAAATATGTACTTGAAAGATTAATTTTAATTATATATATATATATATCAAATAATTTATATATAATAAAATTATATTTTTTTTCGCCAACCGAAATAACAAAAAATGAACTTTTCAAAAAATATTTACTATAACACAATAAAAAAAAACCCCCAAGGTAAAAGATGATATTTTATTACGCTGACTAAACACATTCCCTGTACATTATTTTTTACAACATAATAAAAATATAATAGAATAGATATAAAATACTAGTAATACGATAAGTTTGTCCAAACTATATATAAAATAAAATATTCGGATAAATTCCAACGAAGTCTTTAGAAATCTTTAAATTATTTTTGGGAACCTAAAAAAGAAATCTAATGAAGTAAATAAAATCTATAATAAAGGCGTTGATTCATTTGGTGTGAAACCATACCTATAATATAATATATACATATATATATATATATAAAATAACGAAAGGATAATTTAATATAATATATATAAGAGAGAAAGAGATATATATAAACGAATGTGATAAATAAATAAAGAATTACCTCGGTCTTGAATTAATATCTTTAATATTACTTTTCATTAAATATCTTTCGTAATTATATAAAGCAATAGCTCCTCCCGGACTTAATACCACACAATTCCATAATAAAGTTCCAAATCGAGAAGTAAATTTGGCACCTTCAACTAAATATACCCAATAAATCATATGAATTCCCATAAAGAATAAATCGGCAAACAATAAATTAGAACCATGTGCTGATTCACCATTGAAAAATTGAGTAATTAATGACTTAAGATATAAAAAGTTGTTGTCGGAAGCTATGTTATATAATGTGAATTATTAATAAATATGGAAATAAATATGGAAGTAAATGTAAATATAGAATATAGAGAGAGGAGTCAATATTTTACCATGAACCCAGAAATAGATCCAAGAATATACACTTATTCCAAAAAGTATCAAATAATAATATGCAACTTGTTTATATCCCTCAATAATATTTACTTCCGCAGTTTCAGGAGAAATTTCTTGAGATTTTCTTTTCCAAAATACCATAGCTAACATTGGTGCAAACTAAATCAATATTTAGTTATTATATTTAAAATAATATAATTTAAATTCATGATAACAAATTAAAATTATTATTATGAAGTTATTATTATGAAATTAATATTGAAGTTAGTAAAAAAAACTTTAATAAAAAATTAATATAAAAATAATAATAATAAATAATAAATAATAATAATAATAATAATAATAATAATTTTTTTTTTTTTTTACCTGAAAGAAAATTATACTCCAAAGTTGTAAAGTAGGATTCGTGTAAAATTCCATTGCTACCATACTAACCAATGTCGTAATAAATAATCCCAAAAATATTCTATCAACAAGAGTGGGATTTAAAGTATTTGTTGTTACATGTTGTTGTCGTTGCTGTTGTTCCGTTAAATTTGATTTTCTATTTTCTGATGCGATCCAAGCAGGAATCCTTAAAATAAAATATGATTTAATATAATTAATAGAATTTTATAAATTAATCGTCTTGTCTCAAAATTCAATTCATTCACACACAATTAATTAATATTAAATTAAAAGAATATTTATTTATTTATTTACTTACCAAAGTAAAGGAATTGTTACCGAAACTGCGATGAATTGTGAACAAGTCGCAAATAATAAATATTGCGTGATTAAACCAGATACACTGGGAATTGATGCTTCTATAGCATACGTGTATAAAACGACAATAAATAATGGCGTTCCACAATGATTAAATAATAATGAAGTAGGGTCATTAATAGATTCTCTATATATATATATATATATTTTTATATTTTTATTTTTTTCATTTTTAGAGAATGATAAAGAATAATTAATTATATGAAAATATTTGAAAAATGAATAAATAGATGGATAGATATAGAATACATACAAGAAAATTGCCACTAAATAATTTAAAATATTATCGAGGATAGGAATTCCAAGATATCTCTCTTTGGGATTAAATAACGAATCAATAAAATATAATCCTTGTGATCCAAGATAAATAGAAGTCAATAGTGCAGATACAATTGATATAATCTTATATTTTTTCGAATATTTTTCTGCCATAATTTATTTATTTATTTATTTATTTTTAAAAAAAAGCGATATAAAAAATAATGATTGTGGGCAAGCATACCAATTTATAGTGTTTTTATCTATTTCTATTTATAGACTTAGTTACTTATTTATGATTGAAATTAATTAAATTGGTTAATTGATTTGATATTACGTAAACTTTAAAATTAGCAATATCGGAAAAATTGTTTTCTTCAAAATTACGAGCGATACTTTTACTATAGTCATATTACTTTTTATAAGCCTAGTTTTTATTTTGTAATCTTCTTTAAAAATTATAAATAAACTTTTTTTTCTTAACACTGCGATCATGCGGCTTAGTTTATTAACATTAATGGTTCAAATTGGGACAAAAATTGGAATAAATCAAAAAATTTGATTAAGATAATCAATTCTAATATCTTTAATAAATTCTACCACTAAAGAAATTATTTCCTAATGGCTTTAATGGGTCATAAAATCCAAATACTTTCGCATCATCACTTAAAACAAATTGAAAAATTTAGTCCATGACAAACATCATTATCATTAGGTGTATCTCGTTTAATATATTCTACTTTATATACTTTAGAGTAAGAACTTGCAAATATTTCATTTTTTTCCACTATTAATAATAAATATAAAACAGATATAATAGAAACTAATTAAATTAATTTTATTTCTTTTATATGTAATAAAACTATTATCATCATTTTAAGTCAAGTGATATTATATCACAATAAAATAGAAAACAAATATAAACAGATGAGAAACAAAATAATTACGGTGGTTTCGACTGTTACTTCCGACATATTTATATTAATTTTTTTTTATATATTGTATTGATTATATATATTGTGTTGATTATATTTGTGATGCAAACTTATATTAGTAATAAATTTATTTTTAAATTCAAAAATTTTTAGTTATATTAAATACTTGTACTCATTGTATTCATTTCCCAAATATTTACCAAAATTATGTTAAATTCCCAAAAATCAAACACTAAAAATGACCACGCAGATTAAAAAGATTTTTTGATGACTATGCTCGTCATTCTCGAATGAACGGCGGATCAATTAGATCTATTAAATATGGGTGGATCTTAAACGTAATATTGGAATGACCGAAAAGGTCATATGGTTCTTTTCGAAAAGCACTTTAACTTTTGTTTCTACCATACAGAACTCTCAAAATTGTTTAGAAAAAAGATTTTAACAATCATATGCTGATCACTTGAGAAATTCTGTCACGCTCCTCTACAATTGCTGAATGTCTCTTTCTCCAATGCAAAAAGCCGATTAATAATCCAGTAGCAAATAATATACTTCCAACAATAACCCCAATAATAACTTTATTATTATTCTTATTATCATTCTTACTATCATTACTATCACTACTATCACCTATTGGAGAATTATGCTTATCATCACCATCTGTTGTAGAATTATCTCCGGTACTTCCATTATTTTTATTTTCATTATTTACAGATTTTATAAATTTCAATACGCTATCATTAATTGAATCAAATGTTAAATTTGCAATTGATATTCCAGCAAATTTATTATCGGTCACCCATTTGAATTTATAATATAAAGATTCAGGATCTTCGTAAGCAAAAGATACATCGAGTTGTAAATTTGAAAGAATCGTAGAGTTGGTATCAGAATCAAAATAACGAATCCAATCACCATTATTCTTAGCTATACACATATCCGTTAATGCGGTCTTCCTTATTTCTTTCCATGGCCAAATATAAAAATTATCATTGTTTAAACACGTATCATCATTTTTTATCAATCCAGTTATTGATCCAGGATTAGTTTTCATAATTCCACTAAGATCAAATCCCCAAATCAATTTTGTAAAATTCACTCCATTAAGTTCTTTAAATAAACTATTGAAAGTAACAGTATTACTACTGTTGCTATCTTGAGGAGCGCTATAATTTTCATCTGGATCAAGATAAAATGCCTAAAGAATATATAAAGATAATAATTATATAATAATATAATAATAATATAATATAAAGATAATAATTCTTACTTGTATAATCGTATAATCTACAAAAGGTAGAATGTTAGTTATACTGTTTAAAAGTGAAGGTGTTTCCTTATCATTTACGTTAACTGTAAATGTTGTAATTAAACTTTCGTTCCATTCAGAGTTATGCATTCTATCAATACTTCCTTTTACAAGATCAAGACTGTCATCATCACAATCATTCTTAATAATATTAACCTATATACAATTATTAAATTAATAGAATTAACAGAGTTAATAGAATTAATAGAATTAATAGAATAATTTGGTATATATACCCCATTAAAATTATATCTTTCCACCGTTGTTCTTATTATATTTTGATTATTATAATCAATTGAATTAAGTTCCAATGACGTAATTGAAAATAATATCTATATTAAAATATATTATATATATATTAAAATAACATTAGTGTTATCACAAACATTATCACAAATATTATTATACTAACCTTTAAATCAGAGTTATTCCTTAAATCATTCAATTCCTGTTGTATAGTTCTGTCAGTCTCAGAACTATAAAGAATGTTGATATCAACTATTTTTATATAATTATTGAGTAAATGAGTTAAATTTTTTTTTTATTCTTAATTTCATCGAAAATTAAAAATTCTTTGAATTACCAATATAATTAAGATAATTAATTCTAGTATCTTTAATAAATTCTACCACTGAATAATTATTTTCTAATGGCTTTAACGGGTCATAAAATCCAAATATTTTTGTATTATCACTTAAAACATCTGAAAAATTTAGACTAGAACAAACATCAGTTGTATCTCGTTTAATATATTCTATTTTATCTACTTTAGAGGAAAGACTTGCCAATATTTCATTTTTTCCCACTATTAATAATAAAATATAAAACAGATATAATAGAAACTTGTAAAGTGATAAGAATAAATATTTTTTCATGTTAATAGTTAATTAATTAATTTTTTCCTTTTTATATGTAAGAAAACTATTATTATCATTTTAAGTTAAGTGATATTATATCATAATAAAATAGAAAACCCTATATGAGAAACAAAATAGTTTCGGTAGTTTCGAATGTTACTTCCGACATACTTTTTTATATACTGTATTAATTAAGAAAAAGTTAAATGACATATATTTGTGATGCAAACTTTATATTAGTAATAAATTTATTTTAAATTGACTTAAATTCAAAAATTTTTAGTTATATTAAATATTTGTGCTTCGTTCCCAAATATTTATCAGCATTATGTTAAACTCCTAAAAACCAAACACCAAAAATGACTATGCAGATTAAAAGATTTTTTTGGTGACTATTCTCGTCATTTACGAATGAATGGTGGATCAATTAGATCTATTAAATATGTGTGAGTCTTAAACGTAATATTGGGAATGACCGAAAAGGTCATATGGTTCTTTTCGAAAAAGCACTTTAACTTTGTTTCTACCATGCAGAACCCTTTTTTTAAAATTGTTTAAAATCCTAAAGCTTTTGCTGAATGTCTCTTTTTCCTCCTGAACTATTGTAAAAAGTCGATTAATAATCCTGTAGCAAATAATACTTCCAACAACAACTCCAATAATAACTTTGTTATTACAGTCGGGTCTCTTTATAATCACACATTCGGGACAGTAAATTTAATGATTATAGAAAATTGTAATTATATAGCGATTTTTTATATAGCATTACTATGCATTGGTTCTCACAAAAAGTGTGATTATATAAAGATATGATTATAATAAGTGATTATATAAAGATATGATTATAATAAGTGTGATTATAGAGAGACTCGACTCCTTATTCTCTTACTATTACTATTATCACTTGTTGTAGAATTATTATTATGCTAGATTTGCAATTCCAGCAATTGAATTTATGATATAGAAATTCAAGATCTTCGTAAGCAAAAAATTGACTTTTTGATCTGGATAAAGAGTCAAGAGTTGGTATTAGCATCAAAATAACGAATCCAACCCTTATAATTCTTAGCTATAAACATATCCGTTAATGCAGAATTACTTATTTCTTTCCATAGTCAAATAGGAAATTACTATTCTTTAAACACGTATCATTATTTCTCATCAATCCATAATTCAAATCCCCAAATCAATTTTGTAAAATTTATTTCAGGTTCTTTAAGTTGATCAAATAAACTTTTGAAAGTAACATTATAACTATCTTGAGGAGCGCTATAATTATCATCTAGATCAAGACAAAATGGCTAAAAAAATATATAAAGGTAATAATTATATAATAAAATAATAATAATATGATATAAAGATAATAATTTTAAAATTCTTACTTGGATAATCGTATAATTTACATATTCTTGAATGCTAGAAATAGTGTTTAAATCGTTTACGTTCACTGTAAATGTTGTAATCAAACTTGTGTTGGTATTATTTAGATTTTCCAATATAAGATATATCTTTTTATAAGTTTATTGTAATTTTATAAGTTTATATTACGCAAGTACATAACTGTTTATCTAACAAGAAATCAAACTTTAAAGTTGAATCATTGAATTTTTTTTTATTTATTATAAAACATATATAAGTTATATATAAATAATTAAAAGGATTAAATTTTAAGATATCGGATAACCTATTAACTTTTTTAATCAATAACTGAAATCTTTTTGCACCAGATCATAATAATTAATTAATTTTTTTCTTTTTTATATGTAAGAAAGCTATTATATCATCATTTTAAGTTTATTTTAAGTGCAAATTATATTAATAAAATATAAATAGATGAGAAACAAAATAGTTTCGACTTCTGATATATTTATATTATTTTTTATAGAAAAAAATTTTCAGTATTGTATTAAGTCAAATGAATCAAACAAATATAAAATGAATATATTTGTGATGCAAACTTATATTCTTTAATAAATTTATTTTAAATTTAAATAATGACTTAATAATCATTCCAGCATAAAAAAATTATATTACACATATTTTTACTATCGATAAAGAATTTTAGTAACATTTATTTTTACTGCATTACAAGTAAATTTTATTTAATGCCTTATTCAATAACATTCTCATATGTAACATCTAATCTATGTAGATATCTTTATTGGTGAAAAAAAAAGACTACATTATTTAAACACTTATCCCTTTTGAAAAATGTATGGAATCAACTTGCGTTTGATCTGCTTCCAGGTTACATCAGTAAATTTTACTTTTTTTGACTTTGCCCGCGAATTGTGAAATGCAGAGCGATTTTCTACTAATACATTTCTAAGATAGAAAGAAAGGCCTTATTCTTGGCTACAAAATAATATGTGTTTCATGCCGGTAGAATCGATTTTCGCGGATATATTCGCGTTTAAAGTCGAACTTCCAGAAAATTTTCTGTCATAACTTTCCTACGTTCGACTTTAAACGCAAATATCGATGCTACCGGGATAAAAAACATATCATTTTGTAGCCAAGAATAAGGTCTTTCTTTCTATCTTGAAAATATTTTAGTATAAAATCACTCTATACTTCGTAAATCGTGAGCGAATTTAAAAAAATATGAAAATCCTCCGTTGATCATCGTTTGTATCAAAATACTTTATATGGAGCAACCTTCCAGTTTACTATAAAATTGAAATTTGTAACCTGCTACATTATGGAGTGGGTTATAGCTTAAAGTTACTCCAGAGTATAATACTCCATTAATAACACTAGGTACGACTACATTTTTCAGTTCTTTTTTTATTTTTTTATTAAATTTATTTATTTGTCTGGAGCATAACAAAAGATTATATATTTTCTATACACTATGATAAATTCTGGTCACGGGTATTTCTCCATACAAACCTGATAATTATCCAATGAGATCGTGACTCTTATTTTAGATTATTTTAAATAACCATTTTCATATGGCTCCATTCAAATATCTTATATCACTTATGTGATATTTTATGATCACGTGTGATATAGATTATAATTGGATAATCAGCAATAATATATAATTATTTATGATTGTGTCATGATGAAAAATGAAAATATATTCAAATGCTTACTTTGTCAACAGATTTTTCCTTCTAGAAATAAACTATTAATTCATGAAAAAAATAAACACCACAACAATAAAATTATATCTCATAGAACTTCTCTTTCTTTATCATCTTTTGAACTTGTTTATCAATATCAAGATGCATTTATAATTCTTATTAAAAAAAAACTTGGTTTTAGTAGACATTCTATAGGTTCTAAAAAACTTTCTATCAGTGCTTTTCCTGAAACTATCTTTGTACATTTATTTGAAAATGAACCTATCTCTCATTATAATCCAGTTTAACAAAAATATTTTTATCATTTTCAAGGAAATATTGAAGAAGAAAAACTTAAATAAATACTTAATTATAAATTTTGAAGTTCTAAACAGAATCCCATTACAAAAACTACTGGATATATTTTATTTGTTAACAATGAAGAAATATATACAGTTAAATTTAGTTGATAAGTATTATACAATAATTATAATTATTAAAAAGAACAGAATTTAATTTTTAATTTTTTTTAATAGGTCATTATTAGAACTAAATGAAAATGAACAAAATTTTCAGTGTGATATAGTAACATATACATTTGTTACTGATTCTGAAAAATTTATAGAATTTAATAATGAGTATATATTATATTAATGATTTAATTATAATTATTAATTTATATAATTTTAATATTTTTAATTTTTTTTTTAGAAATATTCTTCTTCCTTCTGAATTAAATAAATCATTTAATCAAAATTATAAATTTATATTATCTCAAATACTATTTCAAAAATTATATATTAATTATAAATTAATTAAAAAATAGTAGTTTTTATTTAATTTTCTTTATTTACAATAATATTTTGAGTTACAATTTTTTTAAAAATATTATTAATTAAATAGTATATTTGTCTATTTTCAAAATATATTATTTTGTAAACTACTGATTTTTTAACACTTCCTTCATCCATAATAATACTATCAAAAAATAAGCGAACCTATTATTAAAATATATAAATAATTAATAAAAAAACAATGATAATAAATTATAAAAATTTTATTTAATTTTTGTACCTGTTTATGATTTTTTTTTATACTTGAAATAGAGAAAATTTGTAATGAAAGATTTTTTTCTTTTAATTAAATTAAAAATTGTGATACATGTTTTGCAAAAATATACATGTAAGGAATAATATCTTCCTTTCTATATAATCCTATAATTTGATTAGAACTATTTATAGAACCTTGAGTAAAATAGCAAAATATACGGATCCAATTTAGTACATCAATTTCAAACTGGTTAATTTCTTCTTCTGAAAAATATATTTAATATAAAATTAAATATAAACAATAAAATTCATACTATAACTTTTCAATATCTTTTCCATGGACATCAGGAATAAATTAAGTTACTGGAAAATTTTCTAATATTTTTTTTATCCAGACCTATTAATTAAGTCCAATTTTATTATTTTCCATTTGATTTAAATTGATAAAATTCAAAATGAACTTTGATATTTTTAAATACAATTTTAATTTCTAGTTTGATTTGTTTTGAAAATTCTTTTTTTTTATTAAATTAAAAAAAAAAAATATTTCATTAAGACATCTGATATACATAACATTAAATGTAACTCATCAGGTAAATAATTTTCATAATTAATTGCCAAAAATAAAGATAATTTTTTTTTACCTATTAATTTATATTATAATAAATTTTAATTAATTAATATAATTAATATTAAATTAAATATAAAAAATATTAATATATCAAATAAACTTAAATTTTGTATTGGTTTCATTGTTTTATATTTTATTCATATCCCATCATAATAATACTTCACAATTATAAAATAAACAAAAATATTTGAAATTTGGAATAGTTAATCTTATAATTATATACATTATTTTTCAATCTTCACAAAAAAACAATTCAATTATTTGATGAATATCATTTTGTTCAATAATTCTATTGTCTTTTAAATCAAATAATTGATAATGAAATAATTGACTAACTTTTGTCAAATCTTCATATTTCTCATATCTAACATATAAACAAGTACTATAATTTTTAAAAATTAATATAATTAAATAATAATTAAAATTAATAAATAATTAATAGTTATAATTAATAATTTGAAAATATTAATTACCAGTATTAATTATTAGATTTTAAAACTTCTTTTTTATTTAATAAACAAAATGTAAACATTATATTATTTAGTTTACATCCAACATTATGTCTATCACATCCAATTTTAAGAAGAATAGTATCTTCTTTTTTTAAAATAAATGGTGAAATATTTTTTCAAATTGGAATTAATGTTTTAAGAAAAATACTAATTGATCTATAAGCACCACTTCCAATTTGTTTCTTTAACTAATATTTCTTCATTAAATTGTTCTAATATATCTAAATCAATATTATTAAGTTGATTGTTATTATTATTAAATATATCTATTTTAATTTTCTTATTAATAATATTTGTAATATAATTTTTATGTTCTTCAATATGATATTCACGAATAAGATGAGATAGAACTATAGCCAAATGCCAATATCCATCTCTTGTTAATAAAAATTTATTATATACATGTATAGTGAATTATCAAAAGTCATGGGACAGTTGTAAATTATTGAAAAAATAACTAAATTTAAATGCTAATTGTGATACAACGAGTAATTTAAATTGTATAAACTTTTTTTATTAGATTTCCTAATACTAGAACTATCATAAGAAACATTTTTGTTAAAATTGAATATCTATAAGTGGAAAAATTACACTTCATATAAAATTGTCAAAAAATAACAAATTTGATCTTTAAACATTACCCATATTGAATTTAATAGATATTAAAGATAGATGTTAACTATCTTATATGAAATTGTAACCAGAAATAATATTTATAACTTTAATTATTAGCATTTTTCATAGTATCTAGTTAAAAATTTACTTTAATTTGACGTGAATAAAAATAGCCAAAATTTATTAAAATTAAAGGTTAAAATAAAAAAAATCTAATTTTAATTATCAACTGCAATCACAAGAAAAAATTTATTATTTAATAATATAATAATAAAAATGGTTCTAATTAAACTTAATCTCAAGAATCTAGTGCATCCATTTAAAAAGTTTTAGACTTATATATTAAAAATTAAGGAAGTAATTGACAATTAAATTTTAGACAATAATTTTTAAATGTTCAAATTCAATCGTTAGTATTAATTTTAATTCTTAAGTAAAAAATCTAAAATTTTTACCATAGATGTAACATATTCTTAGCTATAACTTTTATTAATATTACTTTTGTTAATATATTAATAAATAAAAACATTTATATGTGATTATGATTGGTAATTATTTTCAGAAATTTTCAAAAATAAAAAATGATCAACACAAATTTTACTAAATTTTTAAAAACTGAAAAAATAATTATTAAACATAGTCATAATTAAAACTTTTTATTTACTAACATATTAGCAAAAACAATATTAATTAAACTTATAACCAAGCCTATAGTGCATCTATGATAAAAAATTTAGATTTTTTACTTGAGAATTGAAATTAATATTAACAATTGAATTTGAATATTTAAAAATTATTCCTTAAATTCAATCATCAATTATTTTCTTAATTTTTAATATATAATTCTATAACTTTTTAAATAGATGCATAAGATTCTTAAGTTTAAATTTAATTAGTACTATATTTATTATTATATTATTAATAAAAAAATTTTAATATGTAATATATTTAATAATTTTTTTAAATTTTTTTTTATTTATTTAATCAATTATTCAATATGTAATATTGCACAAAATATACAATTAAAAATAGAATTAAAACATTGTGCAAAATATTACAATACATTATAAAAAGTAATATTATAATATATTCTACAATGTAAATTATTATCAAATTAGATTGTATTATTTATAATTTGCTATAATTATTCTAAAATAGAATTCTGTCATTTTTTTAATAACTTATTAATTATCAACTATACGTGTTGCCCAAATCTCAAATCATTTGGGATTTGGGATGCCAAAATCCCAAATTACTAGTATTTGGGATTTGGGATTTGGGATTTTGGCAAAAAATACTAATCATAATTTGGGATTTGGGATTTGGGATTTCGGCATTTGGGATTTTGGCATTTGAATTTTGAATTTGGGTGGCAGGTATATTATCAACCTTTAATTCAAATTTATTAGTAAAGTATATCTTATAATTTTTATTTTTTTAAAAAATAATTTTATAAAAAATGACTACTCAACGTAAAGAACTTTCTGAATTTCAACGTAATTAAATAATTGATGTTTAGAAATGTAATTTGTCTGTAAGAATAATAGAAGAAATGTTAAAACATCTAAAAAGTACAATACAAAATGTTATTTCAGCTTACAAAGATAATGGGTTAGAAAAAAGCCTTCTTGAAGTGGTCGATCAATTATTATATCAGAAAGAGATAATTATTATTTAATAAGAATTTTAAATAAAAATTGTAGAACCAATGTTAAAGAACTATGTGAAAATTTTATCATTTCTACTTTAACAAATGTAAGCTCAGTTACTTTGAGAAAACACCTTCACAAAAATAATATTTATAGAAGAGTTAGTACAAAAAAACCCTTTGTTAATATAGTCAATAAAATAAAAAGATTAAATTGAATTAAAATAAGAAAAAATTGGGTAAATCAGTAGAAAAATATTATTTGAAGTGATGAATCAAGATTTGAAGTATTTGAAGGAGATGGAAAAAGATATGTTTGAAGAAATACTCAAGAAAAATATGATCTAAAATATCTTATTCCAATTTTTAAATCAGAACAAAAAAGTATAATGGTTTGAGGTTGTTTTATAAAAAATAAACTTGGACTATTAGTTAGATTAGAAGGTAAAATAACAGCAAAAATATATATAAATATGCTAAAAAACAATTTAATATCATTTATCAATAGTTTAGAAAATAAGATGAATTATATTTTTCAAAAAGATAATATTCCAATTTATACTGCAAAAATTACAAAAAAATGGAAGGAAGATATTAATATTACAAGTCTTCCATAGTCTGCACAGAGTTCAGATTTAAATCCTATAGAAAATTTATAGAATGAATTAGATAAAAAAGTCAAGTCACATAAATTATTACTTAAAAATAAAAAAGAATTATAGTAAATTTTATAAAAAGAATAGATTAAACTTGAAAAAGATATGTATAAAAATCTTGTTGATAGCATGTTATATCGTATTGCTACTGTTATTGAAAATAAAGGTTACTCCACAAAATATTAATAATAAATTATAAAATATTAATTTTTATAATTAAAAAAATTATCAAATATATTATACCTTAAAATTTTTTATTTAATAATATAATAATAAATATAGTACTAATTAAACCTAAACTTAAGAATCTAATGTATCTATTTAAAAGTTTTAGAATTATATATTAAAAATTAAGGGAATAATTGACAATTGAATTTTAAGGAATAATTTTTAAATATTTAAATTCAATCGTTAGTATTAATTTCAATTCTCAAGTAAAAAATCTAAATTTTTTATCACAGATGCACTATAGGCTTGACTATAAGTTTAATTAATATTGTTTTTGCTAATATATTAGTAAATAAAAAGTTTTAATTATAACTGTGTTTAATAATTATTTTTTCAGTTTTTAAAAAATTTAGTAAAATTTGTTTTTATTTTTGAAAATTTCGGAAAATGATTATTAATCTTAATTACATATAAAACGTTTTTATTTATTAATATATTAATAAAAGTAGTATTAATAAAAGTTATAACTAAGAATATGATACATCTATGGTAAAAAGTTTAGATTTTTTACTTGAAAATTGAAATTAATACTAACGATTGAATTTGAATATTTAAAAATTATTTTTTAAAATTTAATCATCAATTATTCCTTTAATTTTTAATATATAAGTCTAAAACTTTTTAAATGGATGTACTAGATTCTTGAAATTAAGTTTAATTAGAACTGTTGTTATTATTATACTATTAAATAAAAAATTTTTTCTTGTGATTGCAGTTAATAATTAAAATTATATTTTTTTTTATTTTAATCTTTAATTTTAATAAATTTTGATTATTTTTATTCACATCAAATTAAATTCAAAATTTTAACTAGATATCATGAAAAATGCTAATAATTAAAGGTGTAGACATCATTTTCGGCTAAAATTCCATATAAGATAGTTAGTATTCATCTTTAATATCTATCAAATCCAATATAGATAACATTCAAAGATCAAATTTGTTATTTTTTGACAATTTTATTTGAAGTGTAATTTCTTCACTTGTAGACATTCAATTTTAACAAAAATATTTTTTATAATAGCCTTAGTATTAGGAAATTTAATAAAAAAAAGTTTATACAATTTAAATTACTCGTTATATCACAATTAGTATTTTAAATTTAGTAATTTTTTTAGTAATTTTTAACTATCTCATTACTTTTGATAACCACTGTATTTCATGTAAAAAATTTGTATAATAGGATTATCAAAAGGAAACTTTTGTTATGCTCAAAAAAATCTTATGCATTTCTATGCTCGATATGTCTGACAATAAAAACTATATACACTCATATTTTAGATGAAATTATATCAAGTGGAATATTAAAGATTATTTAGAAGAAAGTATCAAAGAATTATTTTAACAAAAAATTAGGTTGTATATAAAAAGTTTTGAAAATATTAATGACTCTAAATAAGGAAAGAGATCAGATAACACTGATAAAACATATACATATTGGGTACCCAATATGTGCATGGTGTGTCCCTAATATCGGGTATATATCGGATACCCAATAGGTGTAGAAAATATTTTATATATATATCGGGTACCCGATAAGTATAAAAAAATATTTTCTACACTTATCGAGTACCCGATATATGCCTGATATTAGGAACACACCATGCACATATCGGGTACTCGATATGTGTATGTTTTATCAATTTTCGACCAGTGCAAGGTGTAATTTCTTTTTGATAAATATAATAGCATAAGAAAATATTTTTTTGTTATAAATATAATTAAGTGGTATGGCATGAATCTTTAGGTTTCTTGTCATTCAAATCTTTAGGTCGAGTCACTAAATCAGTATTAGAGTACAGATAATCTTTAGGTTTATCTGATGTTTAAGTCTTTAGGTTGACCTGGTACTGGACCTATCTGATACAGACAATCTTTAGATTTGGCTGATGTTCAGATGGGATAAAAATCAGATTAATTTGAGAATAATACTAATTGTCAAAACTTTTTATTCAAGGGATCACGTACCAATCGCAAAGTAACAAAAATGTGAGAACAAAATCATTTGCATAAGAAGATGAATCTCCATAAGCTAAAATTTATAAACTGTGAAACTAATAATGGGAATATTAGGATTAACAGTGGTACAATAAGAACAACAAATAATTCTGTTTCACCTAAGAAAGTTGAGATAAAATTGACATGTTTTTAATCATAATAATCTATGGAAATTTTTTATAATTACTTTTATGGTTTTCCTTAAAAAGAAAATTCCTCTTTTGAGATGAAATCAAGAAAAAGAAAAAAACAAATATATTATAATAAAAACTTGAACTCAGATATAAAAACAGATTCCTCGGTATTTAAGAGAATAAGTAATACTGATATCTTAGCTACTTTAAATTTAATAATTGACTTTTTTACAATATTCAATTCAAGTAAAATCTACTCAATTCACAAGTAAAGAAGAGACCACTAATAAAGAAATTTTTATTATAAAGGCTATTTATGATGAAACTGAAAGTGGAGGAGAAGATAATGAAACTGAAAGTGGAGGAGAAGATAATGAAACCAAAAGTGAAAGAATTGATTCAACTAATTTTGATAATATATACCGTAGCCTAGATCCCTAAAAAATGTGAATCCTCAAATCTAGTTGTATTGTTAAAAAAGTAATTTATGAATATATATGAAACTTAATACATGAATCTCATTTACACTCATTTATAATTAATAACGCAGATTTGATTACAAAATCACTATTTTTTGAAGAAGAGCAGAAGGAAATTATCACCTTAGATGTTAATAATAAGCTGAAACTTAAATATTCTCTTGTGAAATTATTGAAAAAATATACAATCAATAATACAAAAATGTTATGAAAAATTCTTTTTAAATCATTTTTACTAGATGAAGGTAATTTTGATTTTGATTTTGTTAATTACGCTTATTAAGGAATGCTTTCTTTATAAAAGAATGAAAATCTTTTCAACTTTTTGAAATTAGAAGGCTGGTATGAAATAAATGTTTGAGGTCACTTAATTGATCTAGCTTTGACAATCTAAAAATTAATTTAGTGTATAGTGAAGATATGAGTTTTGCATCAAGTGATAGAAAGAGTCTTGAAAGAATAATAAATGTTCAAAAGAAGATTGGTCAAAAAGGTGATGGAGTTTTTAGATTATACAAAGATCATTTAGAGTTTGGTACCATAGAAGCAAGGCATAAGTAGGAAGGACAAAGTGAAATAAAATATTTGACAAATTCCTTAAAATTAAATAAAATGTTAAAGGATATGTTGAATCAGTTTGTTATCATATATAATATGAAAAAAGATTTTGTAAAAAAATTACAAGTAATTGAAATACTTCATGGAGCAAATAGAATTTAGGTCATCACAGCTGATCTTCCTACAATGTAGAAAAGTTTATGAAGTTACTGATTATTTAACAAAATTTAAACCACTTGTATTGGTTCTGAAGAAAATACTATATATAAAATCTATAATTATACAAATATTGAATATTATAAACATAAAGAATGATGTCAACATTGAAAATTTTTTTAACATATTCTGCACATTTCAACTTTTCTCTCCTTTTTCAAGAATATTTTGTCTCCTCTTCTCTTCACTCTTCACTCTTTTACTGAGTAAACAATAGTTACATCTCTCCTCGTAAAAATGCTAATTTCGTCCATCTCCTTCGTGCTGATTTTGTCTTTCTTCTTCTTCTTTTTGTCTATTTTGATCTTCTCCCCTCTCTTTTAATATATTTCGACTTTCCTCTCTTTCCTCTAACTCTTTTTCTAATATATTTTGATCCACTCTTCCTTTTTCTTTTATATTTCATCTCCCTTTTCACAAAATTGCCAATTTCATCTTTTCTTCTCATAAAAATATCGAAATCATCAATTTCATCAATTCTCCTTGTGAAAATATCAAATTTCTCCTCCCTCCCATATTCGTACCTTTAATTCCCTTTCACATTCCTCCCATTTTTTTAATATTATTTCTCCTTCCTCTTTCATTTCATTTATTTGTTTTTTGTAACTTTGATCAAATTGTAGAGATTCAATTTCACTATTTTCACTATTATTAAAAAAAAATTTTTCAATAAAAATGAAAGGTTTATTAGAAAAATTACTTTCAACTTCATGTTCTTTCTGAGTATCACTTAAATGTAGTAAATTTTCTCTGTTTTTAATCATTTTTTTAATTTAAAAAAAAAGAAATGTGGAAAAATTAAGGTAGATTTAAATAAATTCGTGAAATGGAAGATTTATTTTTTTTATTTTAAAGACGGATTAAAAGAATAATTCACAGATTGAAGGAGTAATCCACAGATTAAAAAAATAATTTGAATTAATCTTTCGATTTGTGAAATAATCTTTCAATCCGCAAATTTAACATATAATTTGGATTATTCAAATTATTTTTTTTTTAATTTGAATCTTTTGAACTTTTAAAAAGTGACTTATCAATTCATGTTACCATAGATAATTCGTCAGATTGGTAAATTGGTCATCCACAGATTGCATCTCTACTAAAGACCTATTTTAAGTAATACAAAAATGTCCTTACGCAACCTTAAGTTATTAAAGTTTCTAAAAATATTCAAAATATTTAAAAAGAAAAAGAAAAAAACTTTAGATAGGTTTTTTATTGTATTTCAGAAATATATTGATTTTGGAATAACATGTCAATCTACCTATGGGTGTTATAGATGTTGAAATGTCGACTAACCTACCTGAAATTAATAATACCATTTCTAGTTCATATTTTCATATATGGTTATTTATACTTTTTTTATTATATTCTAATTTCTTGTATATACCTGAAGAGCCTGATCTCGAAAAAAAGTTTGCTGAAAACTAGATTTGAAGAACTTATCTGATCTCAAGGACGAGAAACAAAAGAACACAGTTTCAGAAACTAAATCTGAAGTGTCTATTGATATGGAATTCACTTCAAAACTGATAACAAATTATGAAGTCATTGAAGAATTTGTAGAAAAACTAGGAATCAAAGTATTTACAGAAAATAAAGATAAATGGAAGAAATTTTATAGTAAATAATAAGTGTGATCCAACCTGATTGTATTTTTACTAATATATCTTTTGTTTAGTCTTCACTGGACAAGATTTCATTTGACCTTCCACAATGAAAGTTAGAAAGTGTCGCGAAGTCTTTAATTATATTATTTGTTGCGATTGGGATCCAATCAGTAAAGAACTTGTCAGAAATACAATCAGATACTATCATCTACTTGAATCTGGTACTCTTAATAAATCAAAAGGAATATACATATTAATCGTTCATGGGAAATTAATTAAGTGTGGAGGTGATATATCTTCAGAAAAAGAGGAAGAACTTGATGAAAAATATTCAGGATACTCCTATGTATCTATTATTGAATATTTTGTTGAAATATGTAAATTTTCAGTTAATGATGATAACAGAAGAAAAGAGTAGCAAGTTTGTATTATTTACAATTTAATTTTAATAAATTAGGTTATTGATAGATATTTTGTAATGATATCTGTTAATGAATATCTTGGGAATTGTTTTTGCCAAATGTAGTCACATATTTGTATTCGAAATATATTAAATGCTGGAGAAGAAGTACAAATGGCAAATATAGAATAAAACTTCAGAATAATAATTGATACCAGTACAACAATGACTGTAACTCCATATTTCATAAAACAAAAATTGAAAAATTCGCAGAATCATTAGAAGAAAACTTCTACTCAAGCTGTTGAATATGATAATGATGTAAAAATTACACAGGTTTCAAGAGATTGGCTCATATGCTTGGGTGACGGGACCAATTGAACCAACTGGATTAGGACAAGAGAACTTTATTCATGATAACAAAATCTTCCTGATGTCAATTGCAATTTGATTGGTTACGATGTTCTAAACAATATTTCACATTACAAATCCTGTAGGCAACTATACATATTTTTTAAAAATGATATATTCAACCAAATACTACAATTACAAGGATCAGAATGAATATATTTTCTTTCTTTAAAATAATATCAATAAGTAGTTTAGATTTTACAAAACAATGGTGCAGTAACGTATTCAAATTGAAATTAAATAAAACTTCAGGTCCATAATTTTATAATGTGGTATCAGGATGTGTATGTATTGAAAAAATAAAAAAAAAGTGTATGTAATAATCAATAAATTACAAGAGCACTTAAAGCTTTGAGTTTATTCAATAAAACACAATTCTCGAAGATATTCTGGAATAACTATATATGGATCTTTGTAATATCAGACATATCTTAAATGAATTAATTTTCTTCATACAATTCTTTCTTGAAACGATCCCATGCCTGCTGTTTGATAAAATTATTGAGATCTCTTCTATGAAAGAACTCGTGATATTTTTCGTGTTGTATGCCTTGTACTTCAATTACAAAGCTATATTTTTGATAAAATATATCAAGTTCTAGTCATTTGGATATTCTTGTATCTTTAAGAAATCAGGTTTGCGAATTGGTAAAGGGGCATCAAGATACTTTGTTAAAATCTCATGATACAACTTTTCTTTCTTATATTTTGGGTAGAATGGACATCAAGTTCCTTGTTGAATACTATTAGGAATAGTTTTCCATTGATGTTTATTCTCACAAATTCATTCTAACTTGATATGTGAATTATAGTATTGATCTAAAAGGTAATCTCCATTTTTTACTTGTACGAGTTTACACATATCCTCAATTGTTTGATAATGACCAATGCAAAATGGATACTATTGTTTTCTATTTTTAATATGGTAAAGTGTATTTTTTCATTGATGGTTAAATTAGCAATGTCATATTAGTAGTTCGTCTATATTTTTATACTCAATCGAAAAGCATTCTCCACTTTTAGATAGTGCAATTTTCTTTGCATCTTCAAGGGTTAGTTTTGCAATATCCACACAATATGGATAAACTAGAATTTTTAATGTTATGCTTCAAATATGACTTTGATGGCATTTCTACATCATTGAAATTTTAGAATTATTATATAAAGTTGAAAGACATTTATCATTTTAGCTAAGCATGATTTGCTTAGCATCTTCAAGAGTAAGATGAGCATTTCCTACATAATGTGAACACTATTTGCCATGATTTTTTATATTATTAAAAGATGCATTTCATATATGACCTTTAGTGCAATGCCATAGTAATAATAATCATTGATTAACATATCTTTTTGATAAACATTTTTCACCCCTTAATAATGTAATTTGTTTAGTGATCTCAAGAGTAAGTTTCATATTACCTGCACATTGTGAATACCATTGTTCTAAATTTTTAATTCTAGAAAGTGGAGCACTCTATACATGGTTCTTAGAACAATGTCACATTAATGAAGTTCTATTATTTTTATATTCAGTTGAAAGACATATTCCATCATACTCTTCAGCAATTATATATGTATCATTTAATAATAACTTTTTTATTATTTTTCAATCATAATTGAATCTCTTTTTGTAAATCTAATGGAGTATCGAATCTTAATCTAATTGCAAAAGGATCGTCCTCAAGTTTATCTAGATTAAACACAACAAATTCTTCCTTTCATAAATAGCTGTTAATAACTATTGATGCATTTTTCATATCATTAGTATAACGTTTAATAATTTTTGAAATATCTTTATATGAGTTACCTGAGTTAAATATTACTAGATGAAAAATATTTTCACAAATAATTTCTGGGACATGATGATATTTTTGCATTATATAGATTGGACTTATATTTTGATGACGCTGTTACCATGGGTTTCCTCCACTTTCATAATTTCATATTATTTTATTTTATTTTATTCTTATTTGTATTTATTTTATTAGTATAGTTATTTAGTATATTTTAGTATATTTAG